AATATATATATATATATATATATATATATATAATTTTTACTTCGACACAACGAGACGCAATAATTATGAAGATAATAGAAACATATAGTGAACAAATATGATTTCTCCAAGTCATATATATCTTAAAATTATTCTCAAGTAGACATGTATGTTTTCACTTGTATGGTATCCCAGTATGGAATATTATAACAAATGCGCGTCTCTCGTATAACGCATATTGCATTAATAAGGAAAATTTTGTATTTTATTGCGTATTTATTCCCGATACGCTCTAAATAAAGTATTCCTCATCGGGAAAAAAGAAATATAGAATAAGAGAAGCATTGCAGCAATCAACACGAGGGCTTTCAACGAACGAACGACGAGGGAAAATCTTTGTATAGCTACCAGGTCATACGTTTGAAAGATGATTTAAAGGCGATTTCTAACGCGTGTCAGAAAATCATTACAAAATGATGATAAGCTCGATGCCCACATTTGTATCTGTAATATTAGTAAATGTGTTGCCCGAGCAGGTACATTGTGTTTGTAATTACGCGCGCATAAAATTACATGCTCCCCCTAATTTTGCTCAATTTTTATCTCGAGGAAAGACTCAGATGTTGCGCGAATTGCGGCACGTCCGCGCAAAAGATTACGAATAAATCGAAGTAGAACGGTGAAAACAGTATTCCTCTTATGTAAATTGCGGAAAAGCCGCGTAGAATGTTAGCGCGATTTACTGATTACTGTTAACTGGTCACGGAATATAATGTCTAATGGCGACATATTTTACGGGACTATGCATGAAATACTTTCTTCAATATTCTTCTTCTGTTACTTCACAATGTTAGACATTATCTTAAAAATATCTTTAATTGTGTATATCTTTTTATATTTTTCATAGAAATATGAGATTATATTTTATATAAAAGCTATATAAAATATATAATCAAATAAATTATTCTATTAACCTAAATAAATTATAAATATAATAAAATTGTATTAATATAAATAAATATAGATAATGATAAAATACAATACAAACATTACGCGAGAGTATACTTCTCAGAGATTATAATCATTTTGCTATTCAAACAAAACTTGCTGTGCCATTCTTGCTTATACGCATATCTAATCAGTTAAGGATATATCTTCTTCAATGAAGATAAACTTTTTTTCATTGTTCGCGTATTAGAAAGTTCCTGTTTATACTTTGTACATAGCGTACACCATCCGAAGAGGCTTCCGGAAGAAGAGACATTTAAACCGGAAACTACTTCAATTGAATGTCTCTCATGTTTCTTTTTTACACACGCACGAAATACTTTTCAAGCCATATATGGAAACCTGAACGTTTTCCCAGTGGCTGAAGTGAAAGGTCCTCTATGATCGGATACATTTCATACCGTTCGGATCGTTGTATCCTCAATTAACGGCAATTATTTTTTAAGAGAATGCCTTTCTTCACCGATCAGATGAAGAGAAATTTATAGAGTATTGTTTATCTTTTATCAATATGTATAAGATCGAAAATTTAGATAGTTTACGGAAAAGACATCGAGAGATGAGAGAATTGTTAAATTAAAATTTTTATTATAAATTTGACGGATATATAGTTACAGAGAATTTGCCCACTGTTAAACATTGCCGTGTTTTTGCATTTTTAAATTATAAAGTTTTCATCGACTTCGAGATTTCGCGTGCAGCATTCCCGGATTCATCCGGAGAATCGATTCTAGAGAGAAACCTAGCAATTAGAATAAGATGCTGCCGAAGATATGCGGTTTGGAGACTGGTCCAGATGTAAAATACGCAGAGCGGAAAGAAGAGAGTGGAAGAAGAGAGAAACAGGGGGAGAAAAAGAGAGGGTCAAGAGTCACTCTGTTAGTGGGTGAGCACTCGGTTCCACTTTCGTGCAGCCTCAGTTGTTTTACGATTTCGCGTTTCAGAATTTTATCGTCTTAACTCCCAACCAACTCCTGAACAAATTGATCTACGAGAAAGATAGAAAAATATTCAAATGACATGCGAATCCTATCTTTCTCTTTCTGTGAAAGCATTAAAGAAAATACTAAAAAAAAATATAGGTCGAAATAAAATGCTTCAATAATATAGAAAATTCAGTGACAATTTTTCAATTATCAGTCATCGCATTGTCATTTTTAATGGATTAATTTTAAAAGTATTAATACTTTACATTCTATGTTATTAATATAATATATCCTGTCCTTATTTATTAAACATAATTATCAAATTATCTGTCCATATTATTAACAAAAATCTAAAATACTTCACATGAAATTGAAAGAAATAAAAAACAAATTATTTTTCTGCATCGATATTAAATAAAATAGAAAACGCATTTGATGTCATATATAATCACAATTAAACCAAAATTTTCATTTCCTTATGTCTGTAAGGAAAAGTCAATCTAAGATATTATCTTTTACTTTATTTATAAACCGGTACTGTATAAAGTGTGAGTACTTAAATAGATAAATTGTATCGCTTTCTATACAATGCTGGCGCCTTGCAACTTCAATTTCGAGTAGAAACATTACAAGGCAACAATCGATAAATGGGAGAGCGTGAGATGCGAATATAGATTCCACATTCGTCTTTATGAGAGAAGACGGAGGGGAAACCTAATTAACGCAAAGCGTAATTCTTTTCTTTTTTTCTTCTTTTTGCGCACGGTTACCGTCAGTGAAATTTCACTGCGATCGTCGAGGAAGATAGCCAGAAAGGATTCGCGACGCAACGGGCGCACTGGCAACGGCCTGATTACGTCAGGCGCAGCAGTTTCATTAAATCTGCATATTAGTTCGCGCTCGAATAATCTACGTGCCGCAGCGATACATTAAATCGAGTCCCTGAAGAAATTTCGAAACAAATTCAATCAAACGTCAAAGGATTCATTGCGGAAAGCACGAGTGAGATTGATGATGAACCTTTGAAATTGTCGCAAGACGAACGATGGTCTGAACTTAGAAAAACATTATAACTATCTAAACTTTCATCAATCAAGTAAAGAGATATAATAATTAATTGATAATAAATACCGCAATCATAATTAATATAATTCGCAAACATGATTAAATTTCTAGAGAATAATTTATTTTATTGTTGAAAATTGAATATTTATTTATATATTATATTCTTTGTGTTATATTTATATATTTTATTTTTTTATTATTTAGAAAGTCTCTCTCATTCAAATGTCATTCTAATAATAAACTTCTTATGACGAGTCAAATTTTGTAACTTTTTTACGGACGAAATTTTTATAACAGTGAAATATAAGAATAATAAAGCAATTATACTTTCACCACAGCCTTCTGTGGTACAAGTCTTTGTATAATTCATTTGTATCTAAGTGCCAGTTTAGTGATAATTCCAAAGCTATTTGAATTTTCGTTCGCATTTAGATAATTTTATTATTATAGGCTGTTGATTTTAAAACGAGTATGGAAACTACTGATCTTATCTCCGAGCGATTTCTGGGAGATTGTTGAGATTAATGTACGCGAATTAATGTACTATAAAGCCATGAGTAATTTTCATTCAGAACATTATTCTAGTTGTTTCGTGATTGATTAAAACCTAAGAACTCCGCCTTTACTGTGATCATAAATATTTTCATATCGCCTTTCATTATTCCGGCAATTTGACGGAAATTTATGTGAAAATCTACGATACAAGTTAACGACATATTATTTTATCTTTGAAACGATAAAGCAGAATGAGATAAAGATTAAGTATGCGAAAAATCAAATTATCAATGTCGATTTTAATCAAATATTAATTCAGATGTCTCACGACGAGATCTCATCTCTATCGTTATACTTCTGCAAATTTTTTACTGGTTGACTGAAGAAAGTTTTTTGACGGGAGAGAAAGTCTCGTGGCTTAATTAAGGAAAACGAAAGTAATCCTGAAAACTGTCACGTCGCTCACAAATTTTCCGACTAAATAAAATAAGCAAATCGCAAGATACAGAAACCATGATTAAATTATCTATTTTTATTTAGATTTTTATTTAGATCACAAGTGATAACATTGAATATTTTTTTATAATTTAATATTCCTATTCAATAATAAAATTTATATAAAATAAATATCGTTTCCTCACCTGTTGAAGATGGGACAACTCGGGACCATTTAAAATTGCAGGATCGGCCTCAGCTACCACGAAGATGTTTTCCCGCAGCATCAACGCGGTCCACAGAAAGCACAAGAAGTATCTTCGTCTCATCACGAAAGATGAATTCTGTTTCTGGTATAAATCGATGTTCACACTATGACGAAGCACCCGTTGTATTTCTCGTCGAATTTCACCACCGATACATCAAAGACTCCTCTCGCTCGTTTTACGACTACTCTCTCAGTAGCTTATCTCAGTCAGTCACCGACCCTCATAAATAAAGATGAATTCACCTTCATAAAACTGATCTCCCTTGTGAGATCAAGCTTACGAGAGTTCTTTATTATTTTTCTTAACGTTTGTTCTTAGCTTCTTTGATCTTATCGATATTGAGTGGTCTCGCTTAATTTCACGAGAGAAGTGCCTCTTGTATCTTTCAGGGGATATCAGCATTGAATTCAGTGCGGCGTTTTCCTTCCTTTCTTCCTTCCTTATTTCCTAGTATCCAGGAAGAGACGAGATCAGGAAGAGGCTGAGCTGATACGTCAGCTGCGGGGCTTAACGAGTTCGCACGTCGACGGGGACGAGTTCGGGACTGTTGGAGATCGGAAAAGGTGCGAGAGTTTTACTTCTCCGACGCGGGAAGAGTTCTCGCAGTCCGCAAAGTGGGAGACAGCCAGGTAAGCCGGTGAACGTCAACAAAGAAGGAGCCCACTTCTTCTCCTGGTGTTTTCTTCCGGCGAGACACAATATAATATCGATCAAAGCCAAGCGAGTCAGAAGAAGTGAAGGGATTTTTATCGCACGTAATGAAAAGCGAATCGAAGATTTAAAAAAAGGACTTATTTCGAGTTCACTAAGATTTTCTAAATAATTATAATTTATACATATATGCTTCATGTATTGTATGTTGATTTACATTTATATTTTATAATTCTCAGCCATTCGTAATTTCTTTTGGGATTTTTTACAGTTTTAGAAATATTGTTCCATCCTGGATGCACCAGACAGAAATTTTTTTACAAGCGACGAGGAAGTTGCACGTTGCAGTAAAATTCAAAGTAAACTTTCGAAAGCTTGAAGAACATTTGCAAGAAGCATCTATTTCAAGCGAGATCATTACAGCGTCTCGATCAAAGAGACATAAAGAAACCTCTTTAATTCCTCTTCCTTTATAAACGAAAAATCGGAAGAGGAACGTTATACGAGCGATCCACCCATCCGTTAGCTATTACTTAACGACGATCGAGATCGAGCGAACGGACAAATGAAATGGACATCGGTCCATTACGCTTCCGTCCAAACGTCGGCGTTCCGAAGAACGAGCAAATGCGCGACGTACCATTTTACAGTTGCCTTTTTTTCATACGCCGGCTTCCGATAACACGTTTTATTCGCAGCTCAGCGAGACGCACGCTCGCGGAAATGCCGCTTGTTAAAGTGCCTTCGGACGCCCGCTCTTACGTTATGCAATTTCTAACGAAATTATTACGTAATCAACTTGCAAATCGTATCGAACGTTTCCTACTTAATGTGTATCACGTGCGCACACGTATGTATCTTCGTTGCAAATTTATTTCTCAAAATTGTTCTCCTCGCGATTCTCGCGTACAAAACCGTACAAAATAAACTAAGAGATGAGTCCGGTGGCTTGTAAATGTGAAGAGCCACCGCGCGAGAGGCGCCTTACGAAAGTCCTATCATTAAAAGCAAAAAAAAGTAGATCTAGGAATCATAGTTAAGGTACGACGTGTGAAGCAACAGAACTGCGCTCGAGAACGATGGCAAGAATCCCGTTCGTGCAATGATTGAGATGACTAATGATGCACGTAATGCAACGACTTTATTAGGGAATTAAGATCGTGCAGCACATATCGCGACTCGTTCGAGCGTCACCGAAGTTTCGTCATGGTCCAGCACTTTCTGATTGAACAGCAAAAACACTTTCGGGTTCGCCCCGGGCGACGAAAACTCGTCTACACAGCGAATCTTCCTTTCTCCATTCTCGATTGTACGAAGACGAATATCATAGACTTATTGTCCAGTTTGAAGAAAGATTTATGAAAAAACTCTGAAATCTGATAAAAATAATATAAATTTATTAATGTTAGAAATAAATTTATAAAATGCAAGTTAATTTTCTCTCTAAGAATTTTGAGATAGCTTATCTCATATCTATAACATTTTTCAAATCAATTAGAATGTTAGATTATATTTCGAAGATTGAAGCAAAGTTCATTAAAACTTAAATAAGAATCTGATATATTATTAATAAGTATAATTTTAAAAAAATTTTAATTTTCTTAAAGAAGAAATATTGCCTTTGGATATCAACTTTTATTTGACAGATATTGATTCGGAGAATGTTTTTATAGTTTTCTAATAACAAATAATTGCAAAGAAAATGAAGTATATCTAGACAAACATATAGTTATCGTATTTATAGAAAATACATATAAAGTTATTATTTATTAATATATACTCGATTTATATTAACGATTTATATTGTTTAAAATTATTGTATACTGTATATTTTATAACATTTGTAATTATCCATTTTTGGAAGATTAATATAATAACAGAATGTATTACTCTTATAATTATTACAAAATAGTATTTAGTGTAAAAAATTCTATCACATTAACATCTACAATCTTGTATCATTTGCATTCTAAGTCGCATGCTATGTAGTCGCGTGCAGTTTACAAACCGTATTACGAAATCTGGAAGTATAAATAATTAAACAGGGACAAGAATTTTCGCAAGATTATTATCTGTAAGATCTCAGGCTCGTCTATTGCTTGACCTCGTATTTTATTAAGTAATTTGTAGATGCCAGTACATATAAGTCTAACGCAATGTAACATAAATTATTTTCATTATGTCATAATGCCTATATTTATGTTAACGCACTCTCCTTCACACTTTCATCTTCTATTTTTTACGTCCATTCTGACGTTATATTCAACTTCTAATAATAATAATTAATTGCAGATTATTGTAATTCTCGAATATTCTGAATTACCCTAAGAAGAAAATTCTGTTCTTCGTACACGATATACGCACGTGTAAACTTTCTTTCTTCGCACGATATACGGCTACTACTTTCCTTGAGACATGCAACTTCCGTGGAATTATCTGCCTTTAATCCGTGAATAGAACGAGGATGTTGAAATTTTTATAAATTGCTGGATATCATTTGATATTTGATCACATTAGATAAAAGGAATACGCTGAAGTATATTACGAGATCAAAGAGAAGATCTCCTTATACTCCAAATGTACACTTCAGAGAAATAAATAAAACAGTTATGTAAAGCTCTGAGGTTACCGCATGATCTTTCGATTAGCGATGAATTTAATATTGCGAAATAATGGGATTATAACGCTTTTCAATCGTAGGATACCAATTAAGACATTAAAACAGCCGTGTTACGTAAAACGACATAATCTTCGTAAACTTATCACAAACAAGACATCTGCCGTGTCGCCACATGAAAAGTATTATGTGAATGTACAAGTATCATGTATGGGAAAAGAGGCTTTTCTCTTCGTATATACTCGGAATCCTCTCGTTAAAAAGCGTTTCACTCGAATGAAAGGGAGCGGAAGTGATCTTAATGAGACAAGAATTATGCGATTTCTTGTATAAGATCTCTTTCGTAGCACAAAAACTGCAAAAAGATGTTACAGATAAATAAAAATTAAGCAACTCCTTCTTGAAATATAGCTTAACCGAAATTCATGAAACATATGTTTCATAAACTATTGGGCATAATCATTTTAATTATAGGAAGATTATAAACATTATTATTTACAAGAAACATATTTTAAAATATATTAGTTCATAATTTCTCTATTTTACCATTTTTGTAAATATAATTTTAATAAATTTATAATGATTTTTAATGATTAATAATAATTAGTAATTAAATAC